CCTGAGGTTACACAGTAACTGATAGAGCAGGGATTCAGGATCATAATCTTAACTGGTATGTTCAATTGCGTGTTATGGTTAACTACTATGTCTAATTCCTAAATTATACACACATACATGTGTGTATGTGTGTATAGTCATCCCTCCATATTGTCAGGGGATTGGTTCTAGGACCAATCCTGCAGATACCAAAATCTGCACACAATCAGGTCTCTTATGTAAATAGTGTAGTATTTACACATAACCTGTAGGTATCCTCTTGTACACTTTCAGTCATCTCTAGATTACTTTGACTACCTGATGCAGAGTAAATAGCTGCTGTACTGTTGAGGGAATAATAACCGAAAAACCCTGAAAATGTTCAGTTCTCACATCATTTTGTTCTCTAACTTTTGAATCTGATGATGTGGAACCCAAGGATATGGAGGTGGACTCTGTGCGCACGCATGTGTGTGTGTGTGTGTGTGTGTGTAAGTGTACAGGTGTAGATAAATGTCTTAGAATTCACAGCTAGCTCATACATGTTGGCAGCTCAGAGGAATTTTGTCCTCATTGACTTTTCTGCCTTCTGTCATGGTTGGACACATCAAGAAGACCTTCACCAAGCACTGATACCATGATCTTAGACTTTCCAGCCTCTGGAATTGTCAGAAATAAATACCTGGCTATACTACTGTAAACAACCAAGGTCATCTGGACTTTTAGCCTGTACTTGTGTTTATTGTCTGTGATTAGCAGGACAGCCTGCATTCTAGGTTCACTTGATTGGGGTGACTGGAAGGTCGTAACCTCTTACCACATTCCCCAGCCTAAAGTGGGTGGCATAGTCACTTGAAAAACATAAAATTACTGGAGATGAAGCCTGGCATGGTGGTGCACACCTGTAAGCTCAGCACTCAGGAAGCTGAGGCAAAGGGATTATAACATTCAGACCAGCCAGGGATTCAGAGGAAGACTTTGTCTAAAAGAAATAAATAAATTTTATCATATTCAGTGATTACACTACCCTTTTTTTCTCAATTAAGCCCCACACAAAGCATCTCTGTTTTAAATAAACAAATGCAATGCCAGGTTAAGAAATTTCAAAGACTGAAAAGAATAGACAAATGAACATGGATGAAAAAGTTCAAGACTTAACAAATCAAAACCATCAAAATATAAAAAGACAACATGTCATAACCTAGGGAGAGCAATCCTGGGAACACAAGACTCAAAGAAAATTTAAAAATCAATATGCTTAGCCGGGAGCCTGTGGCTCACACTGTAATTCTAACTTCTTGGGAGGCAGAGAACAGGAAGACCGTCATTCAAAGCCCACCTAGGCAAATAGTTCACAAGACCCTATCTTATAAGTACCAAAGTTTTTACAAAAAAAGGGCTGGCACAGTGACTCAAGTGGTAGGCCCTGAGCTTTAACCCCAGTACCATTAAAAAAAAAAACTCAATTATGTTTAACTCATTATGTTAATAAACAAAAAAATCATGAAATTATTTCAGTTGATGCAGATAAAAAAATTGGTTCAAAGCATTTAATGTAAGACCTGAAACTATGAAACTAATAGGCGCAAACAAAGGGAAACATGTTATGACACTGGAGTAGGTAATCAAAGAGATATCTGCACTCCTATGTTCAGTGTAGCACTACTCACAATAGGTAAGACATAGGATCAGTGGCGGTGTCCATTGGCAGATGAACGAGTAAAGAAAATGAGGTATATATATATATATATAATACATGATTGATTATATATGTGTATTATATGTATATATAATCAATCACGTATTATATATAACTCAATCACATCAAATATTATTCAATCACAACAATGAAATCCTGTCATTGTGGCAAAAGGCATGTGATGGCAGGCCCTTACATAGAAACGTTAGCGCCACATGCCAATGGTCCACTCCTGTCATCCTAGCTACTTGGGAGGCTGAGATCAGGATGAGGCCAACATGGGCAAATACCTCTCAAGATCCCATCTCCAGAAGAAGCAGAGCAAAATGGACTAGAGATTTGGCTCAAGCAGTAGAGCATCTGCTTTGCTGATTTCAAACCTCAGTCTCACCAAAGGGGGGAAAAAAAGAAATGTGAAGCACAGAAAGACAAATATGACATGTTCTCACTCATATGTGGAAGCTAAAAAAATTCATTTCACAAAAGTAGCGAGCAGAATAGTCATCACTAGATATTAACACAGGAAGGGGAAATGGAAGGATATCAGAAAGGGGATTTCACGATATATTTAGCTATGAGGAAGAAGTGCTGATGTTCTATTGTATAGTAGAGTGAGTAGAGATAATAATAATGAAATACATAGTTCAAAGATCTAAAGGTAGGATTTTGAAAGTTTTCCTTACAAAGAAATGATAAATGTTTGAGGAGATACATTTACTTACTTGAAACTGAGAATTACACATTAGACATATAGGTAAAAACATCACATGATACTCCAGAAACATACACAGTTTTATGTCAAAAGAAATAAAATTTATTGTATGGTCTCATCTAGATTTTTTAAAAAATGAAACAGATAATCCAATAAATAACACTGAGCAACTTAGATAAATAAGAATAAACCAAACCTAAGGTTAGTAGGCAGAAAGAAATAATAAACTAATGAAATGAGACTAAACACAAATAATCAATGAAACAAAAAGTGGTTCTGTGAAAAGATAAACAAGATTGACAAACCCTTAGCCAAAGTAACTAAAAGAAAGAGGGAGAAGCACAAATTAGAGATGAAATATGGGGCAACTGAGCAGAGATGGCTGGAGAAGGAGAGGGGTAAAAACCTTTAAGAAGGTGGCATCTCCAGGACATAACACTTGCTTGAACAATGGAAGCCAGGATGAAGGGAAGGTAAGAGGAGGGATTAAGAAATGACCTGGAGTTTCTCAGGTCTGCAGGGGAAAGATCTTAAAAGAGCTGAGGTGGGTGGGCTCCTTTGGGATGGAGAGGAGGGGTGGAGAGGGGCACAGACTGACTTACATGGGATTAGAAGGTCCCATTCCAACTTTTGTTCAGTCCTGATTTGGTCCTGGAAAGAATCCAAGTAGAATAGCTGATTAGACCAGGAGGCTCTCTGAGAAGAAAGGTGTTCTGTGGAGGTATACAAGGAAAAGCAGCTGGGAAGTAGAAGACCAGGACTGAATCCAGCTGGGAGGAGGTCAGATACTTAGGAAGGTAGGGGTGGGTTTGTGGAAAGGGGGTAGCATGGATGACTGGATGGGGGATAACATGGAGGTGATTTGTGGGGGTGTGTGTGAGTGGTACAGGGGTTTAAACCCAGGGTCTCGTGACAACTAGGCAGGCGCTCTTTCATTTGAGCCATTCCACTAACCCTAGAGGTGATTTTTAAAGTGTGAAAGTATGGGAAAGAGCTGTGAGGAGTCAGGAAAGGGACTGTAAAGTGATGCACCATCCCCTGACTACTGTTACACACTTCCTGAGGTCTGAGGTCTGAGGTCTGCAGTGCAGGAGGGTCCAAGGAAGTGCCCAGAGAGCAGCCTCTTAGGTCCTTCAGGTAACTAAGAACTCTGTAAAGGGGCCCATGAACCATTATCTTTAAAGCTGCACACAGGCAGCCAGGGAGAGCTGGCTAGAGGATGAGGAAAATGCTCTCATGAGTGTTGAGTATTGGAGATTGTAGTGATTGTGTTTGAGTGTTGCAGATTGTAGTGCTCATGGTGTGTTTTGGAGGAAGATCGTAGTGAGTGTGGGAGTAAGATCAGAGTGAGTCCTGGAGAAGGAAGATTGTAGTGAGTGTTGGAGGAAGATTGTAGTGGGTGTTGGAGTAAGATCATAGTGAATGTTGGAGGAGGAAGATCGTAAATGAGTGTTGGAGGAGGAGCTTAGTGAGTGTTGAAGGAAGATCATTTTAAGTGTCGGAGGAAGACAGTGGTGTGTGTTAGAGGAAGATCACCATGAGTGTTGGAGGAGAAGGAACTCTGTTAATTACTGGGTCATGTGCCACCCCCCTACCTCGTTGTAGCCCTGACATGTCTGAAGAAATCAGACTTAAGAAATTGGCTGCAGCTAAGAAAATCCTGAAAGCATTTCAGCATAGGAACAGCCCTGGTGTTCCTGCAGGGGCAAAGAAAAAGAAAAAGAAAAAGATTAAAAATGCCGGTAACCCTGAGTCAACCACTGTTAGTGAGGATGCTCCTGCACCAACTGCTCGTGAAGCTGTGTCACCTGCCAGTGTCCCTTCACTGGACACTGGCCTTGATAGTATCGAAGGTCTTGAGTATGAGGTCATACCCTTTATCAACTGGGAAGCTATAACATCAAAGAAGGAGGGTCTGGAGCGAGATGCCAGGAAGGTCTGGTGTGAGATGTCTTGCCCTTAACCTTGCAAGAACAAGACTGAAGAAGACCTGAAAGAGAAGAACTCACACCTGCAGGAGAGGCTTCAAGCCCTTCTCACTGAGAAAGAGGCTATGTAACTCAGCATGGAGGAGCTTCAGGAGAAGCTGGCAATTTCTGAGGCCCAGCTGTTACAGTCTTCCAGTTAGATGCAGCAAACCTTGGCACAGATGCACATCCTGAAGAAGGATAAGGAGCGCAGCATCTAAGAAGTTCACCAGCTGAAGACCACCTTGGTGTAACTGAGGAGCCAGCCAGTAGAGCCACAATCCTGATAGTTCCTCGCTGAGCAAACTGAGGCAGAACAGTGACTGGAGGAGGAGGCCCAGCAGCTAGAAAGGAGCTGGATAGCCTGGCGCATCAGCTAGAGGCCCAGGTGCAGGAGAATGAGAAGCTGAGTCGCCTCAATAGGGAGCAGGAGGAATGGCTGCTGGCACTGGAGCAGGCAGAAGATGGCAAGAAGGACATGAAGACCCCAAAGGACGACCATACCATTAGCCAGCAGACATTGGTGGACCCCGTGTTCAAGGAACTGCTGGCCCTGCTTCAAAATGACATCAAGTTGACCATCACCCTGCAGTCGAAGCAGCATGTTAAAAAGAGGCTAACCAAGAATCTTGGCCAGCTGCAGGAAAACCTGGACCAGCTCAAGGCTTTGGAGCTGAAGAGCCAAGAAGCTCCAGGTCTGCAAAGCAAAGCCTGTCCCACCAGCAGCAGGCTGTGGTGGCCTATCAACACCACACAGCTCCCTACCAGATGCCGACCTGCAATGAGGAGGCAGCCAAAGTCCAACAGCTTCTGAGGCAGACCCAGATCCTGCACCAGCTGCCACACGAGAAGGTGCAGGGCAACATGGCAGCTGAGATGGTCTGCCAGGAGGTGCAGGAGACCCAGAAGCACCTGGTAGCCACCAGCCAGCAGAACCAACACCTGCAGGCCCAGCTTAGCCTCCTGGCTCTATCTGGGGAAGAAGATGGAGTAGACAAAGTAAAGGATAAGGAGGCTCCTTGGCACAGTAGGTCCATGGCAGCGGTCATAAAGAGCCGAGAAGCCATGGTGGCTGGGGAAGAGCAGCAATGGTGGCATACCAAGGAAGCTGAAGGAAACCTGCTGGTGCATGGCTCACCTGCCAACCATGCCCCACACTGAGCCAGAGAAGGCCCCGGTGTCCAAGAGTGGAACAAACGGTGTGTCAGGGGAGAGCTGCTTATTGGAGGTCATGGCAGGACATGAAGCATAAAGAAGGACTACAATTCCTCTATACACGGCTCTCCAGTAAGATGCGTGCCATTGGAGAGTTCACTGCTCTGTACGAAACCCAGAGTAAAAAGGGGAGACCATTAGCCGACTGGCCCAAGAGAAAGAAGATATAATGTGAGAGCTTCAGGAGCTGAAGATCAAGCTTGAGGACAAGTGTGAGAAGAAGGACAGGTTATTGGTAGTTGTCCAGAGTCGTGCTGCTGAGCCCACCTCAAGGCTCCAGGGCCCCTAGGAGGAACTTAAAGCTCTCTGTGAGCAAGGAGACTTTATAGCAATTGACTTCACTGGCTATGAGGAGTCTGAGGAACAAGAATTTGGTGCAGCTTCACACCTGAGACCTTCTCTATGCAGCAGGTCATGCAGTGGCAGTGTGAGACCAGAACGCCCAGGGGTGTGCAGGCTCCAATGATACCCTGTACTTCCCCTTATTCTACCCAGGTTAGGAGAAGATGAGATGACTGTGGAGAAAACTCACAGGTCTGGAGGAGTGGGATGGAGGGCTCTGCCCTAGCCCGGTCCCTGCCACTCCTTCCCAGTCACCCTTTATCTTTAGTATTAAAGATATAATTAAAGCTGAACATTTGATAAAATTGGATGTATTTTTTTCTTTCTGCCTATCATTGAAAATACTACAGCCCACCACCATGGTGATGAAGGGAGGTATAATGAGAGGTGATGTGAATCTACCTCCAAGAAAGAACAGTCCTGTCTACAAGACATAAATTAGCCTACATGTAAGATGCCTGCAGAATTGGATGACCATTTACCAAGTTTGTATTTTTATATAAACTGCAAATATTATGAGTAGCTAATATAAATCTGTTGAACTTTTCTTTCTAACAATATTTGAGAGGAAAACCTAATGTGTAGAAGAGATATTAATAGGTTAGAGTTTTAGACACATCTGAGTTTTTCTAAGCATGAAATATATCTTTGATGTGCAAGACCCTGGGTTCAATCCCCAGCACAACAAAAAACAAAACAAAAGGGAGACAGACCAGGTATGAGCTATGCAGCTGGATACCTACTATTGTCCTGGACTGTCTTTGAAAAGCCCACTAGGTTCCTCTGTCAGTGAATTCTTCCCAGTGCTCACACTCTCACTTCTGTCAGCCAAGGGGCTGCTTCCAGATTGAAATTCTTTAGCCTTTATTTATGGAACGGACAATTTAAAAGCTAAGAAATGGCTTATATAAAATTTATATATATGAAATTAGTGATATATAATAATATACACACAAATAGGGAGACAGAAACAGACAGAAAAAGTTATTAAATTTTATACCACATTTCAGATTACATCTTTTGAGGTAGGATAAAAATATAAAATATAGCAAGTCTAAGAAATTTACTTAAGGTGGGCACTGATGGCTCATTCCTGTCCTCCTAGCTTTTTGGGAAACTGAGATCAGAAGAACTGCAGTTTGAGGCCAGTCCAGGCAAATAGTTTGCAGCCCCATCTCCAAAATAAGCAAAGCAAAATGGACTGGGGAAGTGGCTCACATGGCAGATCATCTTGCAAGTGTGAAGCCTTCAGTTCAAAACCCAGTTCCACCAAAATAAAAAGAAAAATATTTACCCAAGTTCACACAGTTCACAAATCATAGCCTCAGCATATAAACTTGGGCTTAAAATTCCCTGCACTTAATCATGGTGCATTGCATTTTCACATTTAAAAATCCCACATACTGGGCAGGCTAAGTGGCACAAGGGCTAGAGCCACTTTAGCAAGTGTGAGGCTCTGAGTTCAAACTCCAGCAATGCAAAGAGAAAAAAAAAATCCTACATACTGTCAGTTGTGTCCTATGAAAACCAGGTAAGCACCTTCCAATTCTATAAAAATCCCTGCTCTTTTAGAATTAATGGTTGCCTAAATTATCAAAATGGTTTGTAACCATTTGTGATCATTTTATATTAATACATAAAATGAGGATGACTAAATTTAACATAAAATATAAAAGGTGTCAAAACAGACCAAAACAAACCTTGTGTAACAGCATCTAGCATCATTCTATTGAGAGGAGAGGAGAAAGAGAAGGGTGTGAGAACAAATACCTCTCAGGAAGACATCATTAAGGAAACCCTGCCCCTCCACTGACAAATCTTAGTCCCTGATGGGTCTTTCATCTTCTGATTTATCTATATTCTCTAATTTCATAAACTATGGCATGCTGCACATTTTTCTTTGATAACTCTTTAGGATTGTGACTTATGAAGTTGCTAGGTATTACATAATTGTAATAATGAACTTGAAAAGACCCCTGCTAATCATTTACAGTTTTCTGTAATTGTATTAACTTTGATCTTTCTCATTCATTAGCATTTGAATTTTCTGATTAGAGTTCAGTTTTTATCATCTTACAGAAAAAGCTCAATTTACTGACTCTTAACTTGTCCTTCCTTTGAAATTTTTAAATTCTTTCAGCATGTTAGCTACTGTTATTTTTTAACTCTGTCAAAGCCAGGTCATCCCTACTGTCTGGATTGTAAGGTTGTTAATGTTGGGACTGTTTTATACCCTATCCTACAAATGCAGAAATCAATGGAATAGAACACCATATCTTGGAAATTGTAAATTAAAAGTAACATAAGTTTCACTCTGTAAAAAACTTGTATAGCCTGCTAATTTTACCCAGTAGACTAATGTCATCTCAGAATGCAAGAAAAACACAGGTCTATCTAAAAAATTTACTTTATACTTGACAAGTACTCTGTCTGAAAGTTCCAATGTTATAACTACTCCTTGAAATGCGAACAATCATCACACCTGGGAGATACACATTGTGATCATATTGAAGGACAACACATCCTTCTGCCTGGAGAGACTGATGTGCCAGACAGGCAGAACTCGAGGAGAATCCTTTGAATCCTAGCCAGAGTAACTCCATCTTGTAGCAGACTATGCTACAGCCTGCAGCAAAACAGCCATCACTCCCATGGTCAGACAATGCTTCCCGATATCAGCAGTATCCCCAAAAAGAGCAAAAATGGAGTACCAAGCCCCTTTCTGGGGCAGTCATGTTCTATAGAAGTGGCACACATACTCAAAACAATAACTGAACAGGTTCTGTCTGGGGGTTGGTACCAGTGGGAGTGGGGAGGATATAAGGAAAGGGTGAAGGAGAGTCAATATAGTGCAACTATTATGTACTCATGTATGAAAATGGAAAAATGAGACCTGTTAAAACTTCCAGGAATGGGGGAAGGGGGAATGGAGAAGAATGTTGCAGGGGATGAATTTAACTGAGATATATTGTAAGCACTTTTGCAAGTGTTACAATGTATCTCCAATACAATAATATAATAAAATTTTAAAAAATTAAACAAAAGTAAAACAACAGTTGAAGAGTTTAACAAAAGCACCCTGTGTGGGTGGTAAAGAATGCTTCCAGAAGTCATAGGTTGTTAAATGACACCCCACTGAGAAGGGTGGACTTCCTCCCTAGGAGTTGTTGGCCATGCTCCACCACACAACTAGTAGTGCCACTGGGGTTGCCTGCATGCCAGAACTGGGCAGTAAGTGCCTATTGCTATTGACACTGCATGCTCTACTTGCAGCACACAGAAATCAAACTGGTACCAAACTGGAAACTTCCTTCCTACTGGCTACCATTTGTATTCTTAGGAAGTATGGAGGCTGCCAGGGAGAATTGTCACCAATGGTCTTGCCTGGCTATGGGCCTCATGTGCTACACTATCAGCATGCCCTGCAGGATGTGCCCACTGATGCAATAGTGGCACAACAGTATTGGTGCAACCAATCACACTCCAGTTGGATCTTAGACCTGCTCCATGGGAGGGGACTCATGTGTGGTTCTGTAAGCCAGGACAGAAACCTGTAGCCCTAGCAGGGAAACCACTGCTGTTGTTTTTGCTAAATGGATATGATGTACCAGTGAAACTGCTGAACCTGTAGTCACCTCTGCTGCTTTTAATACTAGGTAGTGATCTAAGTCCAGTTTTTCATGAATTCTTCCCTAGAGTTACAGCCATATAAAATAGGAGCTTGGTAAGCATGGTATTAGTGACCTCAGGTACATACGGCCCTCCATAGCCATCCACTGTCCCCTATTAAGGTCATTTTGCTCATCAAGCTGAACTTAATAAGGATCATTCTTTTGGGCTGTCAGTGCCATCCCAAGTTGGAGACAGATGTATCTTTTATGTCAGCCTGGGGAAAATCACACAACAGTGTGTCAAGAAATGACCACCATGCTAAGTACGATGGAGCATGTCTGGAATCCCAGATACTTGGGTGGTAGATTCAGGAGGTTTTAAAGTTTGAGGCCAGTCTGGGCAAAGTTAGCAAGACACTTTCTCCACTCTCACCCTTCTAAAAAAAGAAAGAACAAAAAGAAAAAGAGAAACAAAAGAAATGTCTGAGTTTAAGATACAAAGATACAACGATAGGCCTAGATAGGGTTTCTTATGACATAAAGTGTAGTGGCATGTAAGTATCCAGCAAAATGGCCATGAAGGTGAGCATCTAGCAAAGGTCAAAGGTCACAGTAGCAGATACTATTACATTTAAATTTCTCCTCAAATAAAATTTTGCACTTAACTCAAATGCATAGCTGTATTAGAGACCAATTCTAATTTGTAAAGTAAGACATTAGTTATAGCTGCATAAATACAAATTATAATGTATTTAAGCCCTGATAGTTAATGTTTACAGTGATAATATTTAAATGTTGGTAAGATATACCTTTAATTAAAAGTACACAAGTGGATTCTTAAGGAAAAATATTTCTAAAGAACTCAGACTCATTAAACAAAGCTATGCAAATTAAGACAAGAGTGGACAGCACAGGCACCCATCAAAATGGCAAAGATTTTAAAATGTTATCTGAAATCTGCAATACAGCTGGAAGAAATATACACTGGCAGAAACTTCCTAGGAAATACTTTTGCAGCATGTACCAAGACCCAAAGTAGTGTCATGAGAGTTCAGAAATATTTCCTCGAGTAATAGAGGTGCAAAGAAAGATTTGTTACCAGCATTATTTGTAGCAAGATAAACTAAAAATTAGGTACAACAAAATGGTTAAAAACTATGGCTGAAATATAAAGATTATATAACTCAGAAATCTTTAAAAATTGCAT